TGGACAGCGGCAAGCAATCAGCCAGGGAAGCAGTACTGGCCAGGGAAGCGGACAGGGCCAGGGAAGCGGTTCTGGTCATGGAAGCGGACAGGGCCAGGGAAGCAGACAGGGCAGTGGTCAAGGAAGCGGTTCTGGCCAGTGAAGCGGAGAGGGCAGTGGTCAAGGAAGCGGTTCTGGCCAGGGAAGCGGACAGGGCCAGGGAAGCGGTTCTGGTCATGGAAGCGGACAGGGCCAGGGAAGCAGACAGGGCAGTGGTCAAGGAAGCGGTTCTGGCCAGGGAAGCGGACAGGGCCAGGGAAGCGGTTCTGGCCAGGGAAGCAGTACTGGTCAAGAAAGCTTACAAGGCAGTGGTCGAGGAAGCGGCCATGGAAGTGGCCAGGGCATCGGTCAGGGAAATGGTTATGGTCAGGGAAGTGGACGGGGCCAAGCAAGCAGGCAGGGAAGCAGTTCTGGTCAAGGAAGCGGACAGGGCAGTTGTCAAGGAAGCGGCCAGGGCCAGGGAAGTGGACAGGGCATCGGCCAGGAAAGCGGTTCTGGCCAGGGAAGCGGACAGGGCCAAGCAAGCAGTCAGGGCATCGGTCAGGGAAGCGGTTCTGGCCAGGGAAGCAGAAAGGGCAGTGGTCAAGGAAGCGGTTCTGGCAAGGGAAGTGGCCAGGGCAGTGACCAGGGAAGCGGACCAGGCCAGGGAAGAGGACAGGGCAGTGGCCAGGGAAGCGGTTCTGGCCAGGGAAGCGACCAGGGCATCGGACTGGGAAGTGGTTATGGCCAGGGCAGTGGTCAGGGCCAGGGAAGTGGACAGGGTATCGGCCAGGGAAGCGGTTCTGGCCAGGGAATCGGACAGGGTCGGGGAAGCGGCCAGGGCAGTGGTCAGCGAAGCGGACAGGGCAGTGGCCAGGGAAGTGGACACGGCATCGGCGAGGGAAGTGGTTCTGGCCAGGGAAGCGGACAGGGCCAGGGCATCGGCCAGGGAAGCGGACAGGGCCAGGGAAGCGGCCAGGGCATCGGCCAGGGCATCGAACAGGGACAGGGAAGCGGCCAGGGCATCGGTCAGGGAAGCGGACAGGGCAAAGCAAGCAGTAAGGGAGGCGGCCAGGGAAGCAGGTCAGGCCAGGAAAGCGGACAGGGCAGTGGTCAAGGAAACGGTTCTGGCCAGGGCAGCGGACAGGGCCAAGCAAGCAGTCAGGGAAGCGGCCAGGGAAGCAGTTCTGGCAAGGGACGCGGACAGGGCAGTGGTCAAGGAAGCGGTTCTGGCCAGGGCAGGGGTCAAGGAAGCGGTTCAGGTCAGGACAGTGGCCAGGGAAGCGGCCAGGGCAGCGGTTATGGCCAGGGAAGCGGCCAGGGAAGCAGCCAGGGCAGCGGTTATGGCCAGGGTAGCGGCCAGGGAAGCGGTTATGGTCAGGGAATCGGACAGGGCCAGGGAAGCAGTCAGGGAAGTAGTTCTGGTCAAGCAAGCAGTCCGGGCATCGGTCAGGGCTGCAGTTCTGGCCAGGGAAGCAGACAGGGCAGTGGTCAAGGAAGCGGTTCTGGCCAGGGAAGCGGCCAGGGCAGTGACCAGGGAAGAGGACAGGACAGTGGTCAGGGAAGCGGTTCTGGCCAGGGCATCGGCGAGGGCATCGGCCAGGGCAGTGGTTTTGGACAGGGCCAGGGAAGCGGACAGGGCATCGGCCAGGGCAGTGGTTCTGGACAGGGAAACAGACAGGGTAGTGGTTCTGGACAGGGCCAGGGAAGCGGACAGGGTATCGGCCAGGGTAGTGGTTCTGGCCAGGGAATCGGACAGGACCAGGGAAGCGGACAGGGTATCGGCCAGGGAATCGGACAGGGCCAGGGAATCGGACAAGGCCAAGGAAGCGGACAGGGCATCGGCCTGGGAAGGGGTTCTGGCCAGGGAATCGGACAGGGCCAGGGAAGCGGACAAGGCCAAGGAAGCGGACAGGGCATCGGCCTGGGAAGGGGTTCTGGCAAGGGAATCGGACAGGGCCAGGGAAGCGGACAGGGCCAGGGAAGCGGACAGGGCCAGGGAAGCGGACAGGGCCAGGGAAGCGGACAGGGCCAGGGAAGCGGACAGGGC